TTCTCTCCCTGACACAAGTGAAGCCCAGAGCTGGCCTTTGTGCCCAAGTCACCCTGGAGTGGCTGCTGCCAGGCCCAGAGGCCCACGCTGAGGGGCAATTTGGCTTTGCATTTGGGAAACTCTCCACTCCCCACTCATTGACTCACTCATTCAGATTCTTATGGACGTCACACTCCAAGATAAGCCTTTTTTCTCCACTCTTCCCCAGAAAAACTCTGCTTTTATTGGAACACCAGAACAACCAGCCACACGTTTTGTCTAATCTTTTAGGTAATTTAAATTCCATTAGTGCAAGTGTTGAAAATAAAATGAACTTTACCCAGGTGCCCGATTGAGGGAGCATTTCTTCCAATGTTACGTTCTAAAAATTTCAAACTTATTGCACAGGTGAGAGATGTTTACAGCGAAGACTCATATATCCGCCGCCTCTCCAAGTCTTGACAATGCACTGTGTCCGTGTCATTGCACAGCTGTCCATCTGACCATCATCCATCAACCCATCTCATTTCTTGATGCATTTCCGTGTAAGGTGCAGACATCAGCACACTTCCCCTCACATACCACAGCTTGTGTTTCATCGAGTAGACAGGTTTACAGTTTTTTTCCATTTTGAAGTACAATTTGCACACAATGCAATCTCAAATCTGGAAGTGCATCCTCATGGGGTTTGACAGAGGCACATGCCTGTGTAACCCAGACTCCTTGAGCACAGCCTTCCCCCCCAGAAAGCTCCCTCCTGCTCCCTCCCTGTTAATCTCCGCCCCTCCCACCTCCAGGCAGCCGCTGTCACAGCAGACATTCTTAACCACGTGACAATGTAGGGAGCACAGGGATTGTAAACCGTGGTAGGAAAAAAATGGATAATCAAATTAATCCAACCACCCCAAATAGCCAAAGGAATCCTGAGAAAAAAGAACAAAGCTTGGAGATATCACACTCCCTGATTTCAAAATATACTACAAAGCTATAGTAATCAAAACAGCATGGTACTGGCACAAAAACAGACACACAGATCAATGGAACAGAATCAAGAGCCCAGAAATGAACCCACACCTATGGACAGCTAATCTTTGACAAAGGAGCCAAGAACATACAATGGGGAAAAGAAAGTCTCTTCAACAAATGGTGTTGGGAAAACTGGACAGCCACAGGCAAAAGAATGAAAGTAGACCATTACCTTACACCATACACAAAAATTAACTCAAAGTGGATTGAAGACTTGACTGTAAGACCTGAAACCATAAAACTTGTAGAAGAAGACATAGGAAGTACACTCTTTGACATCAGTCTTAGCAGCATATTTTCAAATAGCATGTCTGACCGGGCAAGGGAAACAAAAGAAAAAATAAACAAATGAGACTACATCAGACCAAAATGTTTCTGCACAGCAAAGGAAACCATCAACAAAACAAAAAGACAACCTAACAATTGGGAGAAGATATTTGCAAACCATATATCTGATAAGGGGTTAATATCCAAAATCTATGAAGAACTCATACATCTCAACAACAAAAAAAACTAACAACCCAATTAGAAAATGGGCAAAAGATCTGTACCGACATTTCTCCAAAGAAGATATACAGATGGCCAACAGGCACATGAAAACATGTTCAACATCATTAACTATCAAGGAAATGCAAATCAAAACTACAATGAGATATCACGTCACTCCCATCAGAATGGCTATAATTAACAAGACAGGAAATAATAAGTGTTGGAGAGGATGTGGAGAGAAGGGAACTCTGATACACTGCTGGTCGGAGTGCAAACTGGTGCAGCCACTATGGAAAAGAGTATGAAGATTCCTCAAAAAATTAAGAATAGAACTACCATACGATCCAGCTATTCCACTGCTGCATATTTATCCAAAGAACATGAAAACACGAATGCGTAAAGATACACGCACCTCTATGTTCACTGCAGCATTATTCACAACAGTCAAGACTTGGAAGCAACCTAGGTGCCCACCAAGGGACGAATGGATAAAGAACATGTGCTATATATACACAATGGAATATACTCAGCCATAAAAAATGATGAAATCTGGCCATTTGTGACATCGACGGACCTTGAGGATATTATGCTAAGGGAAATAAGTCAAAGGGAGAGAGTCAAATACCATATGATCTCACTCATAAGTAGAAGATAAAAACAACAATAAACAATCACATAGAGACAGAGACTGGATTGGTGGTTACCAGAGGGGAAGTGTGGGGGAGGAGGGTGAAAGTGATGATTAGGCACATGTGTGTGGTGGATTGTCCGATGGATTGTAATTAGTTTCTGGGTGGTGAACATGATGTAATCTATGCAGAAATAGAAGTATAATGATGTACACCTGAAATTTATATAATGTTATAAACCAATGATACTGCAATAAAAAAAATAAATTTAAAAATAAAAAAACAAAAACAAATTAATCCGATCAAGAGATGAGTCAAAATAAAGAGTTTATGTGGCTGATTTATTTAAATATGAAACAAATAAATATCTGTGGGAATCCTGGTTACAGAGTAGAATAGAAAGGTTAGAAAAATTAACCACATCCAAACAATTATGTAACTCATCAAATTGGGAGGGGAGAATATTAGTCTCCCAGGGCTGCGGTAACAAATGACCACAAACTTGGTGGCTTCAAACAACAGAAATGGATTCTCCCCAGCTCTGGAGACCAGAAATCTGAGACGAAGGTCTAGGCAGGGCAGTATTCCCCAGGACATCTCTAAAGGAGAACGCTTCCTTGCTTCTTCCAGCTTCTGGCGGCTGCCAGCACCCTCGGCGTTCCCTGGTTTGTGGACACATCCCTCCAATCTCTGCCTCCAACGGCACACGGCCTCCTCCCCGTGTCTGTGTGTCTTCTCCTTTTCTGTCTCTTCTAAGGACGCTTGTCTGGATTTACAGCCCGTTCTATCTAGGATAATCTCAGGAGCCCTCCCTTAATTACATCTGCACAGACCCTTATTCTTGAGAAGGTCGCCTTCTGAGGTTCTGGGTGGACATATCTTTTTGGGGCCTGAAGTCCACCTGGGAGCCTCTCCTGGACTCCTGATCCACTGTGTCCACCTCCAAGTGCCCTGAACCCCGCCCCTGCCCCACGGAGGCCCCCGCCCCCCTCATTGAGCCCCACCCGCCTCCCTCCTCTGAGAGACGCCAGCATGTCGCTGGGGTCCAGCGCCCTGAGAGAGCGGTCCTCTCTGTACCGTCTCCTCGCTGTTCTCTGGAGTTTGGACGTGTCTGGAGAAGCAGGCTCGTGTGTCAGGCCCCATCCTGACCTCACCCTATCCGCCCCTCCAGCTGCCTGTCCTTGAACCTGCCTTTCCAAACAGATTCTGGAAGGATGTTCAAACGAAACCATGGTTATTTCCAGATGGTGGGATTTAGGACAGTTTTCTCTTTTCTTCTCTATTCTTTTTGGTAATCCTTAAATTATTTTATTTTTATAGTGTACCAATTTTACAAGAACAAAGTGATTACTCTTTGTAAAAATGAGACGTACTTTTTATCCTTCCAGTTCTCAAAGCATATGGAGTGGCAGTCGTCAGTCTCAGAAGCAGAGTGGGAGGCGGGCCCCTCTTACTCTGCTGGGGGAGCGCGCTGGGGCCTTCTCAAGCTTTACAAGCTCTTACCACATGCAGCCCGTTTGCCTATAGCGTTGCACTCATAGAAAATTACCCTGAGACATGATTAGGAAGGTCTGCCAAAGTTTATAGATAAATATTTACATAAAGGATCATGTTTAGTGACATTTGTCAACAACCCAAGTGTCCAGTACTAAGAGATCAGCTAAAAGCGTGGCTCTGGTGATTTCTAAAAGTTTCTTCTTTAGGCCCCTTTTGTTGACTTTCGTTTTCTAACGAGAATGCATTGCTTTTAGAATCATCATAAAGCTATTTTTACTTTGCAGAGAAGTCTGGTTCTGCGATTGCGGACCATTTCTCCTGTTCTCTTAAACCGCCGCCCAGGGCAGCCGCATGATGAGGCTGAAGATGAGCAGCCCAGACGGGGCATGTGTAAGTTCTTCTTCAAGCCCTGATCCACCTCTCACATTAAAGGGAGAAACAAATCTCCTCTGTAGGCAGGTGATCTGGACGGTGGCTTTGCACCCGACATAGGGCTCCGTAAGGGGAGACCTCCTGGGGTGGAGAGAAAGGGAGACCCAGTGAGATGGACCTACAGAGGGAGGCTGCTCAGCCTGGAGACTGAGAATGGGGGTGATGGCTGCTGGTGGGGGGGGCCGGGGTCATCATGACATAGAAATAAGTGCGTGGAAATATGCACTGTTTCAGGCACCGTAAGTTACCTGTATTTTCACGTACCTGCTTTATCTGGGAAACATCCAACGAGGAACCGGGGACTCCGCGGTACTTCCTCACCTTAGATGGACACCTGGACAGCTTGGGCAGCGAGGTCTCAGCTCACCACTGCCCCCTTGTGTCAGATGGGGCACATGGCAGGGACAGCTGCTGAAAGGAAAGGCGATTTTCTGGAGAAAAATCCACCCGAGAAGATGGAGGATGTCAGCTCAGGGGCTCCTACCAGAGGGAGGGACCAAGGGAACACTAACATTTACCCTATAAAAATTACGCTTTAAAAAAAATCTTATGACTCCAAGCTAAAGAAGTTCTCAAACCTGAAGATGAAAGTTGCAGAGTTAATTGTCTTGGTAAATTTGCTAACAAGAGAAAGCCCCTCACTGTTAACACTGGGTGGTGGGAAAACACACCACAGGGCACTGGGCACTTATGGTCTAGCTACCCCTCTCCCAGCCTCCACCTTCCTCACCAGATAGGGCCTCCCATGTCCCACCGTGCACGTCCCCTCAGCAGTCAGAAGGACCTCCACTGTCCACCAGGTCACGGCACCCCTGCTTCACTTGTGGCGGGACAGGCAGTTCCACCGTCAGTGCCCACTGGTCATCCCGGTCACCGAGGCGTGAGCCGGGACCTGGACTGGCCCCTGCCCGTGCTCACCCAGCACCCAGGGCTCCGTGTGATCCAGCCTCAACCATGTTTGCCTGTGTCGGCACCTGTGATGACCCCGTGCGGAGTGTTGAGGGTCCCCTGGGGCTCGCTTTCTCCCTGGTCTCGGGCACCGGCTCGTCCCAGGATGCGTCCGGGGTCGCCTGCACCTCAGGAGGGCTGGCGGGTCGCCTGAGCCAGGACGCACCCAGAGCCCATCCCTGATTCTGGGTGGGGCTGTCAGGCTTCTCCACCATGCTGGCCCTGCCATGTCACTGACCAGGAGAGCACGTGGCTGTGCAGTTCCACTGCGGCCTTGTGTACCGAGCACAGACTAGGGCAGCACCACATCCTGTGCAGTCCCGGGGGACAAACGGCCTCCTTATGTTCAGCCACAGCAAACTGCGAGGCCAGCCACGTGGGAAAGTACCACAGAGCCCATGTTAGTGACACACTGTGACAGTTGTCATGAAGAACTGTAAAGGCTGTGATGTGCAGGAGTGACAGGGTGGAGGGAGCAGCAGGCCCCAAGGAAGAGACAACGTCCAGACTGAGGCCTGAAGGAAGCACAGGAGTCAACCTGGAACGAGTGTAGCATTCTAGACGGGGGAACAGCATCTGCAAGGACCTTGAGGCACATACGAGCTGGGCACACAGGCGCCACGTGGTCAGTGTGGGTGGAGCCTGGCGTGGGGGGGAGGGTGACAGAAGTGGGGAGGGGGTGCTCAGAGGTGGGGTGCCTAGCCAGACCAGGACCCTAGGAGCACTGGAAGCCACAGGGGGTGTGAAGTGCTGGTGGGCTTTGTTGGGTGTGGATTTGAATCCTTCCAGCTGCAGAGCTGAGGGGAGAAGGGAGGGAGGGGAAGAGGGAGAGGGAAGCGGGAGGCCAGACCAGAGGCAGTGCATGCAGGCCAGAGTGAGCTGGCGGAGGAGCAAGGGGAGAGGAGGCCACAGTGCCTGGGGGGGAGAACATTTGTCTTATTTATGGCTGCTCACCAGTGTTTGCTGACCTTCCATTTGGGGAACCAGAACCCCCTCCAGCCTGCTCCCTGGGCTCACAGGTGAGCAGAGGGTTTGCTTCAGGTGATGCCTTTTCCATGGGGGGCGTTGTTGGGGGAGCGGGGTGGGGGGAGGAATCCAGACCCCCCCAGAGCTTCTCACACTTTCCTGCGCTCACAGCACTGGGGGAGCTTGTGAAAATGCAGGTCCGCCTGAGCAGCTCCAAGCTGCCCCTGAGTCTGCCACACTGGCCTGGTTCCTTGGCCACGCTGAGGCCGGGTTCTAGGACGCCAATGCAGGGCCAGACACGCTGGAGCTGCTCCGTCCACGCAGGCCACCTGAGGGCGCTGCGGCAGCTCCCCAGGCACTGAGCCCCCTCCCGGGGCCTGGTCCACCCGCGCCCCCACGACCACCCTCCACCCATGGGCGGTCAGGAGAGAAACGCCTATACCCAGCGTCCTTGTCCTCCAGGGGGCCGATGCTGAGGCGCGTGCCCTGGGGTTCTCAGAGGGCCCAGCAGGACTGTGCCTCAGTTGCCCACAATGGTAACCTCCTCGTTCGGCAAACGTCATCGGGTTTCTTCCCTCCCTGCCTCGGTTTCCCCACTCCTCCCTGGGGCTTTTGGTATCACCTCCCAAATAAACTACCTGCACCCCAGTCCTGGTCCTAGGTTGGCCTTTGCGGGACAGTGGTGAGACCAGGAGCGTCTGGCGTCTGTGTGATGGGGAGCACCAGCTTGAGCCTGGGGGCGCTCGGGGCTGTCCTCCACAGCACCCCCACTCCAGTCCTCCTAGCCCCCAGGGACCTGG